GGGGCGGGCACGGGGGGTGGGGGGGCGCGCGCCTGCGTGGGCGCGCCGCGGGAACGGCCCCTCCTTCCACCCCCGCGCCCTCATCGCCGCCCTCGCACCGGGGGCTCTTCTCCTTCCTCTGCCCGCGGCCGGGCGCCCTTCCCGGCGCCGATCCCTCGGCGCCCYCGAGGCCCCGCTGGCGGCCGGGAAGCGCCACAGGTGCCTGGCGCCTGCCCCGCCCCGCTCCGTGAGGAGCCGCCCGGCCCCGGCTGCGCTCCGAGCGCGCTGAGCTGCCCGGGCTGGGCGCTTTCTCCCGGCCAGCTGGTAGAAATCCGCATTACGGCCGCCTGCAGACGGCTTTCCTTTCTCCCCGCCGAGGCGGCTGCCGGGCTCCCTGCCCGCTGTAGCGATGGCCGGGCGGCCGCGCCTGGCTCGGGGAGCGGGCGAGCTCCGGCASCTCGCCCCCTGCGCGACGCGTTCGTGTGGAAACGGCAAGAACTTGTTATAATAGAGCTCTTGTGCCGCGCTGATGTGCAGGCACGGATGGCTTTATGCACTCGTGCGCTCGGCTTGTAAACAGGAGGATGGAGCTAACGGAGTGGGTACGCAGCTTGCGTAAAATCAATGAAACTTGGGTTCATCCTCATGTAATAACTCCGGTTATTACCAAAATACGGGATAGTCTGAAGCATCCTGCTGAAAGTACCAGGTGTGTAGTGCAGTTTCACAGRTCTGCCTCTCACACCCTTCCCCCGGCAAAGCAGATGTCCCGGGGCTGAGCTGGCGGAGGGGCCGGCGATCCGCCCTCCTGCTCCGGTCGGGAGCGGTCAAGAAGTCGGGGTTCACTGAGGTCACTGAGGACTGGAGCTTACTTGAGTGCTCATAGTTCTTGCACCTCTGTCACTTAATGCTCTGCGCCACAAATAAGCCTGATACTCTTTAATTCAGCCTTTGGTGCTGTAATATCATTGGCATCTGTGGAAGTGCCACCTGCGACTTCTCTGGAGTTGCTCTTCAGCTTGGAACAATGAAACAGGTTCCATTGTAAGCGGAGAAAAAATGGATCTCAGTTTTAAGACTAGAGAGTTGCTGGGATTTTTTTTACAGAAATGCTGCTTGTTTCAGCGTCCAGCAGCATGTTTAGTTAACATGCAAAAACCAGAATTTTCCAAAATCAGAGGTACTGTTCACATGATGTGACTAAAGGACTAACCCATGTGTCAGATATCAATTGATACTTTTGTTGGTTTCTTAAAGGAATTTTGTCAGAAGATCTCTGGTCAAACTTTCAGGAGAATGAGTATTTTTGTCCTAAGCAGAAGATGAGGTATTTACAGTTGGGCTCCAATTTTTTCTTTTCCAAAATACAAAATGTAGTGAGTTTGGTAAGATTTATTTCCTTCTGAAAATGAAATGAACAGTAGGTTTTGTACCTTTCTGTCCCCTTGTTTATAGATATTTGTAGCTAAACAAAAAATTATTTCCTAGTGTGGAAAGTTCTGATATTGAAAGACAACTGAGATACGTGCTTTTGGATTAAAAAAACAATAAGGGGGGGAACCACCAAAATCAAAGTATGAAAGAGATCAGAATTTCAGTTTCACTTTCATCATGCAATGCATTTTCAATTCCTGCTGTATTTGCTTTGGCTAATAAATCACAAGCAGGGGCTTTTTTTCCCCCTCCTTTTCGTTCTGGAAAATAAATTGCCATTCCAGTAAATCTTCTGGAAATTATTTTCTCAAAATAGAGTCGTTTTTGTCCTTTTTTCTTTAGGCTTCTGGTGGATTTAAAAAAATTGTAACTTAGTATTGATTACAATTGGAGATAAATTCTCATAATAGTTACACTTGGAACAGCATAGGAAGGATCCAGTTCACAGTGTTAGCTGGAATCTGTTGTCATGACTCCAGTCTTTTGCGTGTTGCATTTCATACGAAGAGAGGGTGTGAAGTCCCATTGATTTTAATGAAAGTACTCATGAATGAAGCAGAGCAGTACGTCATAGATGTTTGCAGATGTGTTTTTGTTTTCATGCTCTGGGAACAATAGATGTATTTGCACACCAGAAGAACRTCTGCAATGAGTTTATAAGGAAACCAGATTTACACATGTATCTTTAGCATAATTTAAAACATWTGCATGATAACTCCCTCTTTATGATTACCCGAGAATACCAACATAGAGAAATAACTCTTGACTATGCCAATTGCCAATTTGACTTCAAACTCACTATGGTCCAGGCATCTTTGCTGCCAGTTTTTTTTCTTTTTTCTTGTTTCTAATACACCCCCATTATGTTGCTCTAAAGTGCATTGGTGGTATTATAAAATATCATTGAAGGAGGGAAAGGAGAATAAGCATTGACAGTGTTCCTCAGTGTTTTTGCACACAACACTTTTCACGACATGAGTAATACATGTCATGCTGTGTTTAGATGCTTAAAATTGTCACTCAGTCAAATCTCTGAGGAAAAGATGGTGAATTATAAACCATGATATTTTCATTCATTGCATGTGATTACACTGGGCCTTTAAGTGGCCCATCAGTCTGTCCCCTGCAGCAATCTGGATTTTTCTGCCTCTTTTAAACTCCCTAGGTTTTKCTAATGTGTGTGAAGATGCAAAACATACCGGAGGAGGGACTGTAGCCTAATTTGAAACTTCAGTATGTCTAAGTTGGTTATTTATGGTCCTTCCAACAACAGCAAAAACCAATTGCGTGTTGTCATTCCGCAGAGGGCTAAAGCACCCTAAGCGAAGGTCACGTATGTTCATTGATTTCTGAAAGGTCTTCTTTCTAGGTCTATGCCTACTTAATATTTGAGTCAGAAAAGCATGTAAAAAATCTTGATGTAACAACAAATATGTTAAACCACAGAATATTAAAGGATAAAAGCAATTGGAGTAGTTAAATGGGTCCTTGGCCTCTCAGATTTTTTTCACACTGTAGTTTTAAATTTTAGCTGCAAGTGGGCAACAACATTTACAGCTGTAAGATGTACCAAGGGTGTTTTACAAGGGATGGCACACTGTAACTAAGGAAACAGGTTATGAAATTATATCTTTCAGCAACTTGCCAACAAAAAGAAAAGAAAAAGTACTTTCTAATATTTGKTAGGCTTAAAATATGAACGCCTTTTCAAGAGAACCAATTAAGCACCAGATGGATGGTCAGGAGTGGTGGCTGAATGTTTAACAATTACGAAGGATAGCAAGCCTAGCCTTTGAAAAATAGGTGCTAAACAATGTTATTGTTTTATGGTCAAATAATTTATGGTTAAATTAGATTAGTAACTACAGCGTTACTTAAAATTTTAACAATTGACCTGTAGAGGAACTGGTTTGAACAGTCAACKGTGGTATAAGGTGAAAGAGAATATGGTGGGCTTATTGATATATCATTCACATTTATGTCTAGATATGTAGAGAGATAGGTAAATACTGCATATGTTTTCATCTTCATATATGGGAAAAGCTTTTTTTCTCATGTCTTATACATAGTTGTATTTAATTATAGTGCAATATTAACATAGTTTTTCTTGTTATAAGATTTCTAAAATTTATTGGGTAAGGTGATGCAGTTGAAGTCKGATATAGTCAGTCAAATTATTGTACAAGGCTCTTTTATCCACATTCTGGACACTGCCCTCCAAGTGCATTAAAATATTTTTCCTTTAAAATGTGAATTAAAAAAAACAAGGAAAATGAGTTGGCTTTTTAGCATTAGTATTGGAAACCTTTCCCTTAATAGATTTGTAGTGACAAAAGAGATTAATAGTTACCTGCAACACTGCATAATATTCAACCTAAATATACTTTTTAAGGGCCGAATTAGTATGAATCTTCCATTTCCTTTTTGACTATTTTCTCTTTAGAAGAAACTGGCATTGATTATATTTCCCCCAATAGAAAGGAAAATTGGACTAGTGGATAGCAGCACATCAATTGTTCTTGTTTTGATGCCCTTATGGACAGCAGCAACCACTTCCCTTCTTTCTAGAGTAGTGAATAATGCAAATCCTAAACTAATTAAGTGTTTGAGSTTTGAATTACATTAATTAATATAATGTTTATTAAAATATTAGTAAGACAAAAATTCTGACCTTTCATACTTTCTTACAATTTTGTACTGGAATAGGTTGATTGTACTTGAAGTCTGGCATTGTGATAGCAGCGTGGAGAGCTATAATTATGAGTTGCTGCTCTAATTTAATATTGTGGTGTAATCAAAATTAGACTTAGATTTATTATTTCAAAATCAAATTAACTTGTTTGGAATATTAGCAGGGTTTTGATCTGTAGCAATAAGTAGCCAGATTCTTAGTTCCAGTATATCATTACATATCACAGAAATAATTAGGGACAAAGTGAAGTAATTTATGCATATAAAATATTAATGTATTTTGGGGAATTTTCTGTTGAATAGAACAAATAAAATGGAATGTTGCTGTATATTTGCAGTATTTAGAGAACATGTCATACCAGTGCTTTGTGCTTGTGTTTCTATTTGTTCTTCCCCATATGCTGAGTTTTTTAAAATAATCATGTTCCTAGATTCAGCACCCTTACAACCAGTACAGCAGTAGGTATCCAGGATACAGAGAATGAGAAAGAAACTAAGAAAGTTGTTTGTTTGTGTCAGCAGCCATCTGTTAAAACAAAAACCTTCCACTTGGTAGAATTTTCTCCCAACACAAAACAGTTACTAGATAGGTTTCRGAACCTATCTAGTATTACATAATAAAGAAAACAGACTTAGAAAAATTTAATTGTGTGTTAACATTGGAATCCAACTTAACAGAGGAGGTAAAGGGTAATGCAGTACTTGATCAATGGTGGACACATACACAACCAAAACAGTATGTTTATATGAAAGAGATTGATAAATTTTTTTGAAAATGTTTGTGAAGTATCTGCAGTTGTAGATGAAGCTCCAAGATTCATTTGCTTTGAGATTCAATCATCACTGAATCTGACATTTGATATTTATTTTTCTAAGTAGTTAATATGTGTTCAATTAAAGTAGATCAAAATTTTTAAAAAAATAAAGATTGCATATTTATTCCTCTGTAAAAATATTCAGATTCAATGTAGCTTAAAAAAAAAAAAAAAGAACCCACACTAGGTGGGTGAGAGACTTCATTTTGAGGAGCTTAAAGCAGTTTAATGGGAAGTAGAGTGAAATTGTATCAGAAAGCAAGTTGTCTTATATTTGCTCGTTAAGGCATTCCTGCCACCTTCCTTTGCAGCCTCTGGTAGAAATGGCCTTCAGAGACCAGACACTGGCAAGTGTCAAAATGAAAATGTCTTTTGAGAATGCAAGAAAATATTGCTGTAGTAATCTGATAAAGGTGGGGTTTGGCTCCAGTGCAGCTTTGCATGGATATGACATTTCATATCATTTGTTGTGTTCCTGCTTTACATTGCTGTTTAAAATTTTTACAAGACTGGTTATGATTAAATAATTGCTAGAATATTGTGCATTATTCTGTTACTGCCTTGCCTTTTTTACGTACTGCAGAGCAAATGAAAGGCAAAAAAATGGGCTAAAGAATTCATGCTTTTGATCCCTCTGCCACAACATAATGCAGAATGCAGTGCATGTTTATGTACTGGGGATACCAGAAAGTATTGGTATGAAGAGTTCATAAATAGAAAGGAATCTTTTGTTCGTCCACTCAAATCCACACAAAATTTTGAAAGATTTAATTTTACAGTAGGTTTATGACAGTGGATCTAAAGGTCCGTCTAAAGACAATCTAGTGCATTGTGAAATAGCTCCTGGCAAGAAGAGGTCTGTAGTCACCTTAAACCCAGGATAACAGGATGTTTACTTCTCCACTTGCTTCTGTGAGCAGCAGCACACAAGGGCTGTGAGTGTCCAGCTCTCTCCCTGTTTCCCAGCCCTCTCTCCCTCCCAGCCCTTTCTCCCTCCCATATAATGTGTCTCTGTTTCTGCTATCCACCTTCCCATCAGTCCACCTTAAAAAAACGTTGAGGGAGTCCTGCTTTAGAAATTTCTTCCAGATTTTTTTTTCCCCTGGACAGGTCCATTAAAAATCCTTATGACTGTAGCTACTGTGTCTTAGTTGCCAAAATTAATTAGTTCAGCTGTGAAAGTGAAGGATTTGCTTAGTGGAAAAATAATTAATAAGGAAAACAAGTAACAAAAGTAGTTTATGTTATGTGCATCTCTTCTTACCAAAAGCAGAGCTGATAATGTATCAATGCATGTAGCATATTGGATGTACAGGTCTAGGTTTTCTACAGCTTCCTAAATTTAACTTCTTATTACTTTAAAAGGTACCTACCAGGGGCAGTGGACAGGAGGGATGAGACATGGATATGGTGTTCGTCAGAGTGTACCCTATGGCATGGCCACTGTGATCCGTTCACCTCTGCGAACATCTCTGGCATCACTTCGCAGTGAGCAGAGCAATGGCACTGTTCTGCATGACGTCACTTCAGACAGCCCGGCTGGAACAAGAGGAGGATTTGTGCTCAATTTCCACAGTGATGCAGAAGCCATGGGCATTAAGAAAAAAGGAGGCTTATTCAGAAGAGGATCCCTTCTTGGTAGTATAAAACTTAGAAAATCGGAATCTAGGTCATCGATATCTAGCAAACGGAGCTCTGTCAGGAGCGATGCTGCTATGAGCAGAATTAGTTCTAGTGACGCCAACTCTACGATTAGTTTTGGAGATGGTGACTGTGATTATAGCCCTCTGGAAGACCACGTTGATGCTACCACTACAGAAGCATATATGGGTGAATGGAAGAATGATAAGCGCAGTGGTTTTGGTATCAGTGAGCGTTCAAATGGGATGAAATATGAAGGAGAGTGGCTGAATAACAGGAGGCATGGATATGGATGTACCATGTTTCCAGATGGCACCAAAGAAGAGGGAAAGTATAAAAATAACATTTTGGTCCGTGGAATAAGAAAGCAACTTATACCAATACGAAACACAAAAACTAGAGAAAAGGTGGATAGAGCAATAGAGGGTGCACAGCGAGCAGCTGCCATGGCAAGAACCAAAGTGGAAATTGCAACTTCRAGGTAAGTTATCAAATGGAAGGTTGTAAAACTTTGCATTAGTGAGCACTTGCTCACCTTTCAGTTTCACATGTGTAGCTCCATTGACTTTAGTGGCATTGCACATGTGAAATGTAGAACTTCAGCTGATTTGAGTGAAGAGTTTGTGTAAGTTCCATAAAATACTGTGAAGATAAAATTCCATGCTGCTGCATCTTGCCTTTCAGTCTGCTGGGAAAAAAAATGGTGAGGAAATAAGTAAATGATTTGAGAGATGTGAGGTTAAGTTTTAATGTTTTCCCATAAGCATGCACCAGTTATGCTTATTGTACTGCTGATTTTTTCGATAGCATCTGGAACTCACTGAAGTTTCCCATTTGACAACAGACATCTTAAGATGCATCTGTTTGTCTGAGATGCATCTGTTTATCTGTGGTATGAACGGCATAAAAATAATGGTTTAGGATGTGCTTAGAGGCTGTTGATTTGATTGGCAGGGCAGTRTCTGCCAAAAGAGTTCTGTATGAGGAGTCTTTCATTTTGGAGGATGCTTCTCCTCGATTCGTCTGCTCATACAACCACCACTTCAAATAGCAGTGGTCACCTCCCTGTCCCTTTACCAAGTGTTTGAGATGGGAGAAGTGTATGGGTATTGGTAGTGGAGAAAAAATGACTCCTAAGCAAAGTTSTTTGAAATGGAATTGAAAAAAATTAAATCAGTACAGACCATTTTAATAGGTTTTATTATTGTAATGTTTGAGAGCTCTTTAAAAAGATATTTAATTTTTATTGTCTTCCAGTAACTTCTGTGGCAGTTTCTCTGTTGCTGGCTTTAGTTAATTTACTTACGCAGGCTTTTCTTGAAATACACTTTGAATTAAAAAAAAGTCCAGAAATGTGCATGAAAGAAAATCTTCGTACTATTTTAGAAAGGGGATGTCATATTACTCTTAAAGCTGARCAACTGATTCCTAATTTAGTGTGGTCACTAGTGTGTTCTCAGTGACTGCCCTTTTCCTGACAGTCATAAGGAATACAGACAATACCAAAAACTGGCTAAGTGGGATAGCTTGAATCTATGAAATGCTCATAGCAAAAAGTAGTTGAGACACTAACATGAAGAATGTAGCATACCGTTAAAGGACCTTTCTGAGAACTGGTCACGTAAGTAACTGAAGGGTAGCATATACTCGGTTACTGCTATAAATATATGTAAGGCATTATGTGACAGCATACCATATTAGTAAAGCAGATCAGTAATAGCTAACTTTAAGAAAGTACTGGTTCCCATTCATGTTCTGTCAGTATATAATAAGACCTAATTCTGAAAAAAATGAGGCAGTGAGATCGAAAGAGGGAGTCACCACTTTGAGTTTACATAAGGCTATTAAAAAGCTGTAGACCATTACATTCCAAGGCACSTGTATGCACTTCCTCTTCAAGAAGTGTCTCTGAAGTGTTTTGTTTGCTTTTCCTTCCCTTTGATTTTTAGGTGAAGGACAGAGTTCAYATTGCTTCTTTTGGAACAATTCATGAAAACCATGTTTATTTCTTGAAAATACATTTTTGAAAGTGCAGCAGAAGGAATCAGTTGTAATGCAGCTGTGACCTGGGGCGATCTCTCCCTTTGGTTTTTCAGCTGAGAATCTCTCTGAAACATTCCCRTGACTACTAGTATAGACATCCAAGATTGCAGATTCACGTTTTCTCTCTTTTTGGTAGCCCTTCACCAGCTGTTCTGGCACTGATTCAAAGGCCAAGAGACCTGACACCAAGTCGGGCATGGAGATAATATTAACTTCACCTTTGAATTCGTGTTGGATTCCCCTAGTAAGAATGGCAAGACCCTTCCTGTCTCTCAAGTTTTCAGAGTTGCTTTGAGTACCAGTAGGAGCAAGGCCATGGCACTGTGTGAACTAAGGGACTGTCATAGTGCCGGGGTCAGTAGCTCTAACTATCTGAGAGCCAGATCATCTGGAACAGATTCTAGAGCAGCACTGAGGAAAATCTTCCCRTTTCAAATAGTTGTTAAGATCTAGGCTGACCTGATTGGTACAGTTTCAAGATGAAAGAACTTTTGTCTCACTGACACTTGAGAACCATATTGGTTTGTGATTGTATTTTTTACCAAACTGATGTATTAATAATATATTAACTCTTSAGACAGTCGCATTCTTGCAGTGTCTTCTTAGATGAGTTTGAGGATGGTGGTCTTGTCTGTTTCCTGACAATTACTACTGCACAAAAAAGTCCAGAAGTGCCTTCTGTGATTTCTCTGTGTAATACAAAGGTGGTTCTGCCCATATGGCATAATCTCACTGCCCAGTGGCCTTCTGTGTTTCAGACTGGACAGATGTCACCAGCTCTGTATGCTTACTGTAGATTTCCATTCCATTAGTGGAAGAAYTCACTATGTAGGCCTTTTCTCACCCCTGAAGCCGTCAAACCAAAGAGCTGGAAATGTTGACTCTTCATCCAAATCCTTCCTTTTCAATGCAGCTTGTAGTTGTGTGCTATTTTTCCTGCATTGTTTATTCCCAAAATGTTTGTTCAGCCAAATGGAAACAGACCATACTCCTCTTCATAGCTCCCTGCTGGTTATGACAGGTTTGGCTGGTAGTTTGACCTGTGACAGATGTCCACATAGTCTTCAACGAGACCAACCACTGTTTTGCTTCATATTCCTGATGTCTTTTTATGTCTAAAAATCCTTCTTAATAATCTTTCCTTTTCTAAAATGGCAGTTTTGAATACACAGTAAAGAAAAAAAAATTTGGGTTAAACAGTGCTTCTCTGAACCTGAATTTACATTGGCTCTCCTGACCTAGCTTTTGGGTTTTTGAGGCATTTGTACTCCACTTGCTGTTTTGGATATGGCAGCAGCATTTCTCAAAAGATAGCAGTTTGCAACATCATATGATGTATAAAAAGCTTCCGTATCAGGGAAATAATTAGCTTCAGCTACACAGATATGTATGTATTTCTTCCATTTCATTGATCTTACAGGTCATAGAACAAGCAGATTAAAGAATTTTAAATTATTTTAATTCTCTTTTTCACAGAAGCTAAATACTTAAAAGTACTTTTAAGTTTTGAGTGAGTTTTAAGTGAAGTGTATGTATTGTCATGATACACCATGAGAGCTTGGGACCACCTTAAAAGCAGTATTGCAATGGGCTCTCATTACATGAGCACCTGAGATCTGGTGAAGCATAATGGTGCCTTTGTGTTAGGCACTACACAAACAAATTATGCTGGCTGGAGACCTTGCWGTCTGGGAAAATGGCAGTGCCCAACAGATGAAAAGAAGCTGGCAAAAGACTGGCTCCGAGAGCAAAATAACAGTAAAATCAATATCTTGCTACTAATAACATGGAGCAATTCCTCCTTGTTAATTAGCTGTCTGTGCTCAGACAGCAGTGACTAGCAAGCCTCTAGTCAGGAAGACCTTTTAAGTGGAGCACTGAAGGGGGATTAACTGTCATCTTCTGCAGCGATTTCTTTTTCAGAACAGCTTTTTTAGACAGCTCAATTTTATTTTTAACATGTTTGTGTCCAAGTCCACAGATGCTGTAGCTAAGTTTCAGCCTTTATTTTTTAATAGAAACTGCTGAAACTCTGGTTGTGATCCTGTCTCACGAGCAGGCTTTTTTGTTCTGTGGGGCTGCAGAGGAGCCTCAAATAGTTAGAGGTGGATGCAGGAGTAAGGTGCAGCAGGATTGACTTGCTAGTGGAGACCCAGTATAAAAATTTTGTTTGGGAGTGAGCCCACCTCCACMACATGGACTTTCTTGGGTTCCTGCTCTCTAGTGCTGTCCCTGTGGCCTGGAGCTGGCTTGTGTAATGTTCAGTGCTGAGGATGATCCAGAGAACTCCAGCTTCCCCTGAATCCTGTCCTGGTGTTGCCCCAGCCTGGGCTTGGACACTTAGTGTTGGCTTCAAGTCGCTGGGCAGCATCTCCAGCTCAGTTGTCCACCCCAGAGCACCCGTGCCCACAGTACAGCAGTTACTTAAGAGCCCACTTTTATTTTTCAATAAACTTGATTAAGAGTAAGCTTCAGTATGCTGTGCTGCGTGATGGGGTTGTATGAAGCATGTGGGAGTCTCAAGAAAGAGTACCAAAGGGTTCATTTGCCCATTTCTTTGTTGGATTCATTGCCTGGTGTGTGCTCAGCTTGACCTGAACAAACTGATTTCTAGGGTGAGCTGAAATTACATGCATGTGATAGTACAGTTTGTGTCCACACTAGAAGGCAGCAGCYAGTCACTCCAAATGGCATTGAATTATGTGTGGCACACACAGCTTTCCATGATGGATTTAGCTGACTCTACCACTCTCAGTTTACTCTAGAAACTAAACTGGACATTTGCAAGGCTGGTGCCTCACACGCCTTGGAGATGCTTTACTTATTATAGCTGAAATATGAACATTGTGTTTAGGAATAGGATCCAACAAATACCAAAGGTATTTATATAAGACTGCTTGCTTCAGTACAAAGAACTGCCTTAGGTTCCAAACAAAATCACTTTTAATCATTTTGCTGCATAGTTTTGAAGATAACGAACGAAATGCTGTGGTAAAACTTAAAATAGGTCTTGAGCTATTATAGATAGTAGTTTTAAAGTCAATTCTGCATATGTTCTTCGGATCCTGTGGGACTTACACCAACTAACTTYAGTGGGGCACATTTTCACTCAGATTTCACAAACAACCTTTTGTTGTAAAAGAATATCATCTTGGACTGTTATTTGCTGGGGATTTAATAATGCATCTGTTTGAAATACATACTTCATATAAACATCACTACCTAGAATTTTCCATTTCCTTGGTATTTATTGCACCAAGTTACATGTCTGAAAATATGCAAAATTAGTCCGGTACCATCCCTCAGCTTGAAATTTTAAAAAGCCTCAAGTATTTAACTGTTTATCAAATTACCTGTATCCAGATATACCTACCTGGAGCCATAAACTTGAATAGGGATTTTTTTTTAAAACTCTTTTGGTGTATATCCAGTCTTTCC